GCAGGCACACCTGTCCTGTTGAGGGGCAGGCTGTGGAGTCCCAGGAGGCCAGCAGTTCCACCCCCAGCCCTGCAGGAGGAAGGGGACTCAGGGCCACCTGAGAAGGTCACTTTGCCTCAGTGACAGCCACTCCTGACTCCTTTTCCTTCCTCCTCCTCCTCCTCAGGGCTGCTCCCTCGGGTCCCAGGAGTCTGTAGAGGTCAATCCTGGGCGGTGGAGAGTTCCTGTTGAAGGCTCAGAATCAACACACCTCCTTCCTGTGCCAACACACCCCCTTCCTGTCACAGCAGGGTGGGAAGGTGGCCCTCTGGTGACCCACCCAGGAAAGGCAGGGACAGTACTCCTGCAGGGAGGCCCACAGAGACTCATGTGACTCCTTTCTTTGGGATTCGTTTCCTGCTGGTGAAGCCCCCACACAGGTTGCAGCAGTGGGGACCTGGGTGTCGCTGGGTGTCCCTGGCCCTGACCAGACTGAAGTACAAGCACAGCCCCCCCACCCCCCCAGGGATCTGAGGCTAATGTCAGCCCTCAGGGTGGAGGACACAGAGCCAGGTACTCAAGGTACGCAGAGACCTTAAGTCATATTAAGACAGGGCACAAATGTCACCCGGGGAACAGTCGCAGCAGATGGCACACTTTCAATATATGTGAAGGTGTCCAGCTAAGTCCCCAAGTCCAGGATCACCCTCGCTGACATGCTGAGGACCACGGGGGAGCTCAGGCGGTCACAGGTGGGACCGGGTGTTGGAGAAGGCAGGGTTGCATGATCTAGAAACCAGAACCCTGAGGAATGTGAAGTGTTTGGTTTCGGATCCTCATGATACGCAGAACAGGGCTCCGTCAATCAGTCAATCAATTATCAATCAATCATACAAGGACGTGTTGCTTGAGATTGCAGGAAAAATTCCCAGAAGGAGACTAAGGATGCAAGGAAGACATGTTCCCAAGTGCGTTGCAATCTCTCTCAGGATACAGACAATAGTGTTATTGCTCCAGAAATTCACGGGGGAAAAAGATTGCAATTCGAGGTTCCTGAGAAAAGCATCACTATTGACACTCAGCCTCCCCCCCTCCCCAATTCCAAAGCCACAACCTGTGCAATATACATTTCCCCCCACCAAGAGACCCTCCTTTGCCTCACACAGGAATTCATGATGAGAGCTGGAAACCCACAGTTAATAGAAAATGACAAAGGGGCTGCGGTGCCTGCCCTTTGGTTAAAGATTGCAAAGATATAAGAATTGTTGTGCTTTGGCCAAGCATCAAGGAAACTCTTGTAAGAAAGCAATTAAATAGATCATCTTAAAAAGCAAATCACCTTGGAAATTAAAAATAGAACCTTGTAAAATTAATATAGATAGAGTTTAGATATAATATAGTTTGAGAGTCGTAAGGCTTTTAAGCAATCGATTTTCACTCCTTGACGTGTGTTTTCTGGGGGCTTTAGTTTAGAAGTAACAGGTCAAGAGACACGTGGCCCAGTTGTGTCGCCAAGCACCCAGTGACTGAGGTGACAATGCAAAAGCTTAATCACGATGGGCTAAGGCTTCAGGAAAAAATATTTTAAACAGTGTACTCAATAGCTCAGGTGATCCAAATATGTCGGAAAAGATGGTGAGTCTTGAAAAATCATGTCAATCAAAGAAGTTTGGGGGCTTTGAGGCTAACCATTAACTACTTTTTTTTTTGGAAAAAAAAAGGTATAAAAATAAAGTCCCCTCTAGCGGCAGCAGATCTTTCTAGAAGCTTGCTCCTAAATTCATGGTACAGGGAGGAAGGTTGGTGTACCATCTGGAGACTGAGTGGAAGAGGGACTGGCCGGTGAATGACCACAGGGTCAGCCACAGCCAGGGTCAAGGACACATCCCCATCCCCAGTCTCCTTCTCCCTCTGTCCCACCTGCTGCAGGTCCCTGTCCCCAGGCTCTGGACACCCCCATCCCCCATCCCTAGGTCTCCTCCCTGGGCTTCCCTGGCCACCTGCCACCATCTTCTCGTCCCAGCCCAACCATTGCCTGCAGGTGACCCACACTCTGCTCTCCCTCTCTCTGCCTAAAATCTTGGTCCCCGCCGTCCCCAATGCCAGTCCAATAATCAGCAAAAGGACAAAGAAGTTTTGTTGCTTTTTTTTTTTTTTTTTTTTTTTTGCTAGCAAAGAAGAAACACAGGGGACTCCAATTCCAGAGTCTGTGAGTCTGAGCAAGACCAGCCCCAGAGCCACCAACCAGACCCACTGGAATAGCTCAAAAGGGGTGCATACGGCTGCAAAAATAAACTCTTGATCTGCTCAACAGATTTAATGTTTAGGCTGAAACCTGCAGCCCTGGGGATGCCAGCAGGTCTGTCTTGGCTCTCTGATACTCTTCCTTACAGCCACAGTGGGGATGACTTGAAAGAAAAGCAGGTTTTTAAAAAAGACCTGTTCTGTCTCTCAGCAGGGAGACTCCATGGCTTTGTTTCCAAGAAGGCAAGATGCTGAGCTGAGGAATTGGTTTGGCGGTGAGTTCCCTGGGCACATCCCCCCCCAAACAGAATCAATCCTTCCTTAATTTCCAGATCACCCCAATCTGCCCTCTGTAGGGGGGGAGGGGCAGGGGGAGCAGCTATTTCCTCCTTTAGCTGTTCAATGGGGTTTTCTGGAAAGAGAGGCCAGCTGTGCCTGAGCTCTGGGCCAGCTGGTCATGCTACCTGGGGATTTTCGATAAAAGGGAATTTTAGAAATCATTCACAACATAACAGCTGAAGTGACCCGTTTCCTTACAAGTTGCTCCAGGGCTCAATATCAGCTTTGCAAAGAGTACAACCCAGGAATCACAACCAGGCTCAGCACGGACTCGGTGAGGCCACACCTAACCCCTTCTGCTTCCGTGTGGGTATGGAATCCAGCGGCCACGCTCTGTCCTGTGATATCTGCTGCCTGCTGCGACCCCAGAGTGTCAACTTGCACTTTGCAATAATCCTGGTGCCCTGGAGAGATCCAAAGGGAGTGGTCGCAAGCAGCCTGCAATGCCACTCTTTGACCAGAGTGACCGATTTTTCCCTATCGTATTCCCTAATCAATATAGTGTGACAACTATTTATATAGCATTTATATTCCATGAAGTACTGCAAATCCTCCAGAGGTGATTTGTTTTACAAAATAATGCGCCTAGGTAATATGTGAATATTCTGCTGTTTTTTTTATAAGGGACTGGAGCTGTGGTACCCACAGGGGACTCTGGAACCAGTCCCCCACTAATGGACAGTTATAGTTGAGCAATTTTACCTGTGATACACAAGACCAGGGGGGACCATTAAAAAGAAAAGGAAGGAATTTTGCACAGAAGTGGAAAAAAAATGCTTTTTTCCCCCAATTCTGAAGTTTAAAATATACAAAGAAAGACAGGCCTGTGTGTGAGGGATCAGCCACAGCAGGTCTCTCGGGCTCTGCCTGCCTTGGAAGGGATTGAGGAAAGAACCTCACTTGCTAGGTCAAGATCTTTTTATTTTATTTTATTTTTGGTGGCAGGGATTGAATTCAGGGGCACTTGACCACTGAGCCCCATCCCCAGCCCCATTTTGTATTTTATTTAGAGACCGGGGTCTCCCTGAGTGGCGTAGGGCCTCGCCATTGCAGAGGCTGGCCTCCATCTTGCGATCCTCCTGCCTCAGCCTCCCAAGCCCCTGGGATTAGACACGCTCCCCGCCCCCCCCCCAGGGGACATTGGGCCTGTGTAGAGGCATTTTGGATGGTCCACAGTGGCAGGGGGTGGTCCTAGGACATGTAGCATGTAGGGAACAGGATGGCTGCACATCACCACGATGGATAAGCCCTGACCACAAGAAGCCTCTGGTCTCTCGGGGGGGTGCTACTGCTGAGCTCAGGAACCCGGGGCCAGGGGGAGACCCACAGCATATTCTCAGGAGAAACCTAAAGCCCGCAGGCAGGAGAATGACCCATTTGGGCCTCACTGTGGCTACAGTCTCTCTGTCAAGGGTTCTACCATCCTGCCCAAAGTTTTCCGGTCCAAGGTCAGTTGTTGATGTCCAGCCAGATGCCCCTCCTTGAACACCAGGCAGGAGTCCTCCTAAGCAGGAACCCCACCAAGGGAGGAAGTGGCCTCTCCCTGTCCCCTGTCCCAAGCATGCACGGGGAGTCACTGAGCGCTGTCCCTGCATGCACACGTACGCGCGCACACACACACACACACACACACACACTGATATGCAGGCCATCCACCTCACAGCCCCAGGCCAGAGCTGGGGTGGCCTGGGACAGTCCCATTCCAGCTACAAGAAAATCCCCTTGACTTCTGATCCTGCACATTCTAGAATGTTCTGTGCCGTGCTTCACTTTCCCCGGCACAGTCACCGTCTCCCTCCTGGGATGCAAAGTGCTTGTGATCACCCCAGGCCTTTGGCTCTTGGGACTCTGTCTCTTTGACAGTGGGGACTTGCTAACCCTGAGGTTTCCTAGGCAGGGACTGTGTGTGTGTGTGTGTGTGTGTGTGTGTGTGTGTGTGTGTGTGTGTGTTGGGCCAGGGGAGGTGCTGGGGATTGAACTCAGCTGATCCACACCCGAGCAAGGTCCCTAGACCCTTTTCCATTTTATCGTGAGACAGGATTTCACTAAATTGCCCAGGCCGGCCTTGAACTTGCAACCCTCCTACAGGTAGTCAGCCGTCTCCCCAGCAAGCTCACCAGGTGCAAGTTAACCAACCTAGTTCCCACACCGCCAGTCCCCTCCTGACTGGGCTCTCAGCCCCCAGGCCGCTCTCTGCCTGCAGATCCAGGTACCAGAGACCCAGGGGTGTGGCCTCTGCCCCCTGAAGCCCTCTGACATGATGGAGACATACCAATCCTAAAAGAAAAGTCCACCCTTTTTGGTACCAGGGATGGAACTCAGGGGTCCTCGACCCCTGAGCCCCCATCCCCAGCCCTATTTTGTATTTTATTTAGCTGAGGGCCTCACCATGGCTGAGGCTGGCCTCCACCTTGCGATCCTCCTGCCTCAGCCTCCCAAGCCACTGGGATTCCAGGCATGGGCCACCCACCGTCCCCGGCTCAGAGGAAATTTTTTTTATGAGAAGAAAATAGCGTGTGGCCACTTTCCTCCTCTGGATTTGTACTATTAGGGCCTGGGACCATATCTCTGCCACCCCCCAGGACTTGAGGCTGTGGGGGAAATGGTCCTGCAGGAGGAGGAGGGCCTGGAACATTCTAAAGCATTTTCCTGCTACAGTACCGCAGCCGTCGCTCCCTGTAGTCAAAGACCCTGGCTTCACATCCCTTCCTGGACCCTGCAGTAGCCTCAGGCCTTAGCAAAGGGACACTTAGGGACTCTGATGGGAAGGACCCAGCGCAGCCTGCAGGAAAACGCACGCTCGCCATCTAGTGGTCATATCTGGAAACTGCAGGGATCTGCACACCAGATACAGGATCTTTAAATAAGAAAAGTGTTTTCTTCCCAAATGTGGTCACAGCGCAGGGACATGACCTTTAGGGCTTCTTTTTAAAATTTTTTTAAATATACAGTTTTTAGTTCTAGGTGCACACAATATATTTTATCTCTATAGGGAACCATGTGCCCAGCCCCTTGAACTCAGGGTCTGTCCGTCTGGGCTGGAACTGCCCAAATCTTGGATTCCTGTCTGCTCTGGGTATCAGTCAGTGAGTAAAATGGTGAAAAAAGATCTTGTCCTTGGAGAAGAGACCACACCAGGGCAAAGGTGGTCAGCCCCAAGCATGCACCTGAGCCTAGTACTGAAGGGCTGGGGTGTGGACTGAGGATCTGCATTTCTGTTCTCTGGGGAAACTCCTGTGGGTGTGAGGCTCACCCTTTGGAACCCAGGCTCAACCACAGTGTGACTTAGGCTGGACTGCTGTTTCCTAAGTGGCAGGGAACCCAGGTGAGTGGGGGGGGGGACCATGAGGTTCAGGGAATAATTCTATAAAGTGGGTCCCCTTTGCTGATCGCCCCCCCACACACACACACATGCTTTCTTTTCCAAAGAAGCAATTTCCCTGCAGCCCTGCCTGGCTAAAGTGGTCTGTCACTTGGCTGAGAGGAACTGCTATTTCCCTAACCTTGCTCTCCAGTGCAGGGGGATTGCCCGAATGGAAAAACCGCAGGTGGCAGAGGGGTCCTTTGTGTTTTCTGGGGTGACCTGGTAGCTCTCCCTTTCCAAACTGAGTCTGAAGAAGACCCCCAGCCTGGTCTCGGCAAACTTGTCTGTTTCCTGCAGAAGGAAAGCAGGCCTGAAATCATGTCCCTAAGAGGGACCCACGTTACCCCGGAGAGGAGGGGACTTTGGTGACCCTTGCCACCCACCAGATTCTGAAACTCAGGGAGATAAGCATAATTCCTTCTGACCAGAAGATATGTGTGAATTTATGGTCAAGAGTCCAATGAGACCTGGTCCGCCTGGGCCACTGTGACCCAGAGTTGTCATGGCCGAGGGGACTGGGCAGTCTATCCTTTCAAGAAATGCAGGCCTGTTACTCTGAGGGACATGTGTGACATCTTTCTGACTGGGTGGCAAGAATTGGGGTTTGAAGTGTGTGTGTGGGGGGGTCTTCTTGCCCTCCACCCCTGAGCCCCGTCCCCAGCCCTATTTTGCATTTTATTTAGAGACAGGGTCTCCCTGAGTGGCTGAGGGCCTCGTTTTGGCGGAGGCTGGCCTCCAACTTGGGGATCCTCCTGCCTCAGCCTCCGGAGCCACTTGGGATGACAGGCGTGTTCAACCACACCTGGCCCCAGGGTTATTTTCTTTTATACGTAAAAACCCTGTGGGTAGCTGGTTTCAGGGATCACTGTCTTTCCCTCTCTCAGTTCCCCATTCCATTTTCCGGCCTCCCCTGTGGCCACAAGACGGCGGGCGGCTTTCCAGGTCACCCCAGAAAACACAAAGGACCCCGGTGCTCCTCTGCCACCTGCAGTTTTCCGTGCCAGCAATCCCCCTGCACTGGAGAGCAAGGTTAGGGAAGTAGCAGTTCCTCTCAACCAGGAGGCCAGAATGTTCTACCCCAATGGTGCCCAAGTCCCCATACCTCATCACCAGGCTCCGGGGTCTGAACACATACCATTATAGAGGTGTAATCTTGGTTCCTTCCAGAACCTTCTTGCCTGACCCTTGAGTCATGTCATCATCCCCAGCTTACCTGTTCAGTGATTATTGCTGGTTAAATGCCCTGGAAATAGGTTTGCACAGCGTCCGCAGGGAGCCCTGGGCGGTACTAGACTGAGCACGTCGCTGCCCACTGTCCGTCTGTCCAGATGTCTGCCTTAGACCAACCAGTCCCCATGGGAAGACACAGGAGCCACCAACCCCCAAAACAAGAAAGACCTGGGAGAGCAGGCGGGAAATGTCACTCACTGTTCAGAGCAGGAAGCCAGAACCTAAGGACCCTGTGTAACCATCTGGCACACAACAGCGGTGACAGAGCTGTCCTGGATCAATATCCCCCGACGCCTGGCACATCAACACACGAATAAAGAAATTATTGTTATATATATATATATACACACAACGGAATATTACTCAGCCGTGAAGAAGAATGACCTTATGACAATCACCAGTCAATGGATGGGGACTATCGCGCTAAGTGAAACAAGCCAATCCCCAAAACAACCAAAAGTGGCCTGGTTTTGAGGATCCGTGGAGGCCAGACCACAATAAAGGGGGGAGGGAAAGAGGAGAAGTTCACAGGAGATTCGCCAAAGAAGCACGGAAGGAAGGGAGCAGAGATTCCAGTAGGAAAGGCAGCAGAATGAATCAGTTTCCTGTGTAGGCACAGGAGAGTACAGAAGTGAATTCCACCATCATGCCCACCCCGAGAAGGGGATTCCTAAATAGAATAAGATATGTCCTATGCTAGTATGATTTTTATCAAATTGGACTCTACAGTCCTGTGTCATTAAGAAATAAAATAAAGTACCGAATAGGAACATGAAACCAAATGGATGGCATCATGGCCACCGGCTGCATTTTTAGCGGATTTAGTGAGTATATATTTATTGATGGGCAAGTCTACGGAGTTACCTACAGAATTAGAAAAATCTCGAATCAGCTTTCCTGGCTTCACAATGAATCCCCCAATATATATATATATATATTTTTTTTCCCCTTGAAGAGACACACCCTGGGGCCCCTCCGAACAATGTCCTTGTGTGTATTCTGTCACCCTGGGCTCCCACCCCCTGATAGTTGGGGAGCAAGACACAGAGCTCTCTTTTGAATCACATCTGCTCTGGTTGGGGTCAAGGCCAGCAGGCAGGGGTGAGCAGTTAGGAATGCTGATTTTTTTTTTTCTTTGTAAAGTGCAGAGTGTCCAATTGCACCTCATGGAGGAAGGCAGATGAGTCAGTCGCCTGAGTCCTGGGATCCAGGTGAGGAGCCCGGACCAGAGACAGGGCCCAGGTTGGCCTTGGTCTGTGCAAGGCTGCCATCATGTGGCCGTTACCGGTATTTCTCTCTTAAAAAAAAATTAGACTGTCCAGGGAGGCAGGGAGCCCAGGGGCAGCTGGGGGAGAGAGAGAGAGAGAGAGAGAGAGAGATAAGCTATTTGAGAGAGAGAGAGAGAGAGAGAGAGAGAGAGCGAGCCAGCCTCATTGAGCTCATTTAAAGGGAGATGCAAGAGAAAAAAGATGTTTTTCATGATGTACCCAAACCTTGCAGGGTTCTAGGCACAAAAGTGTCCAGAGCATCTCAGCTACATCCTGCTGTGTCCCATATAAGCGTGCATTCCTAGTTAAAATCGAAATGGATCCACATTTTTAATTTGAGATATATTTTACTATCAATTTGCTTTCAAGAGATAAAACAACCTTTGAGTAATGTTGAACTCTCAAATTATCGAAGAAACTTTATAACAAAATTCTGTTAACAGAAATATCCAAGAACTTTGTATTTTCATCCGAGATATTTCTTCTCATCCAGGTAGATCATTTGTTTACATTCTGAGGTTTTTTTTTTTTTTTTTTTTTTTTTTTTTTTAGAAATTGTTCCAAAGTACAACCAGGGAAAAATTCTAAAAGAAAAAGAAGATGCTTCAACAGAGAGGAAGTGCACACTGGAGGTCCTCAGCAGAAGAAAGAAATCATCCTTGGGTAAAACAAGAACTTTATATTCCAGATTTCAATGATAGAAAAATATTCCTACATAGGAAAACCTTTGCATCATTATCTAGACAGGTATAGAAAGTTAAAACAATTAAAAATGACATCTTTTAATGTACTGGACTGACTATAAAAATTTTAACGGATTAATGCCAGGATATCTCAGACTATTTGCCTGATTTTACTATGCTAAGGTGTGCTGAAATTTTTCCATATTTTTGACACGATAAAGACCTCTAAAACATTAAGTTTATTTTCTTTAAGGAAGGTCCTTATTGCCTAATGATTCTTGCTGTGTAAGGCGAGGATCAATTATGGTGAAGAAATTCACATCCTGATTTAACACGTATTGACTCAGCCCTGACCCCAGACCCTTACAACTGCTTATTAGGAGACACCTACAGGTAAAAGGGGGCAGCCCAGAGGAGACCAATCCAGGCCAGTCCTCATCTGGGTGCACATCTGGAAAGTCTTTGACCTTCCCCTTCTGTGTGTGTGTGTATGCAGGGGTGGGGGACATTAATTGCAGGGGACCTACAAGGACAGAATTATGCTATTTCAGGACCTGGGTGGTAGGGTGCATATCTAATGATCAGATTCTGGTCTTTCGACTCAAATATTTATCCAAGACCTTATTCCGGTGTTGAGAGCCACAGCCAAAGGGGCCCCAGCAAACTTCCAGCTGCCAGCAAACTTCCAGCTGCCGGCTGATGATTGGCTCACAGCGGCCCCAGCAACATCTAGCTGATTGGCTCCTCTGC